AAGGGGGAAGCACAATGGACTAATAACAGGTATAAGTGCATGGGGAAACCCACCCACTCAATACTCAATACTCAATGGGTCACGGGAGAGACCCCAGCTTCTACTGGGGACCACAGCACACCTCAATGAAAGTGATGGATGAGAATGAAACAAAATCTTGTAATTTAAACTCTTCGGGTTAGAACATCCTTTGAAGAAATAACTATAGATTGCAATAATAAATTTTGATAATTATACTATAATAATTAGGTGCAAAAACAGAGTTACGTTGGGTAATGATCATATAAAAGATAAATACGGCGGGTTAACCCATTATTATGCAGTGGTAAATATTTGTACCGCTTAGTTTAAATTTAAATAAGATATGTCCCCACAATATTTATTTCCAGGGTCCGTTTCCTTGTTGGCTATAGTTCAATTAAAAGTCATTAACAAATTGATTTTTCAGTCGATATATGATATCTTTGTTTAGAGATGAGGGCCATTTTTAAAACATTTCCCTTTGTAAAATGTTGAAATTTAAAATTAATTAATTAATTCAGGCAAAGAATCAGTGGTGGCCTCTTACATTCCGTGATTCGTTTTACGCGATGTTCCCAGTAACTTAACTATAGAGCATCTGATGACAGTGACCATGATGCATTGCAAAAGATTTTGAAGGAGTCTGTCGTGGCCATATCGACGAAATATCATAGAACTTTCCTGGAGGGATTAAAAAGAACCACGAAAATCATATTCAAGAATGCTAGTGTCCCGGCCGATATTCGAACTGAGAAGCTCCAGAATTCAGGACTAGATTGTTAAAATACCATTTGCCCCAGTGCGGGCTGTTGCGAATACAATAATTTGCTTTTGGTGGTCCTTGAAATTTGAGTAATCTTGTGAATAATTTAAAGAACAGCAGCTTCTGAAGAAGGGCTCTACTTCCTGGAGTTTAGCTATATTGCATAAAGATTATCGTAATTCGAAAAGGTACCTAAACTGATGAAAACTGTCAAGATATCTTTTAAATATATCACTGAAGCGAACTACTGCATATTAAAATAAAACATCCTGCAAGATACAAAATTGTTATATACGATAACATACGGCGCATGTGCAGCATTTACTTACTTAGGGCGTATTCTTTCAATTTTTGTGAATAAACGAACCCGAAAAATTATAACTACATAGACGAGACGATATAAAACTCCGTGGTTTTAATCCGCAAGCGAACTATACCGACCGAGCGACCGCGCTTGTCGGCGAAGTTAGTGCCAACTTTAGCGGATAAAGGGTGTGCGTGGTCAGTGTAACGAATCCCCAAGGTCGTTAATTTCGATTTTCTAGACCGGAGCCGGTATTTCCTCGAAATAGCTACAGACAAGCTATATCTCAGAAAATCTGGTCGCGCCAGGAATCGAACCCGGGACCTCTGGATCTGTAGGCAGAAACTCTGACCACTAGACCACATAAGACTAAAATTAAGGATAAAGTTATTCCTGTGCTTAATTAATTAAGCGCCATGCCATGAAGTCGTATGGAGGAGTGTAAGTGTAGCTGCAACATTCTTGACCTCTGCACTAGATGGAGGTAAGTGGTCAGCTTCACACCCTTGTCCCCTTTACCCCCTGGAGTAATCTCATTGGTTAGGAAGCTGGGTGGGCCTCAGAGACCGTCTGGCCGCAATGGGGATAAGGAAACCATGCCTCCGCCGGGAATAGAACCCAAGTCGTCCAGCCCATCGCCCGCCGCTATACAGGCTGAACTATCAGAGCTCTGGTTAGGTATTTTAGAGACAGAAACTGGGCAGCCATGTGATCTCGCAGAACCGAGACTCTTCAACAAATAAAATAAATCATCCATACTTTAGTTTACAATTGCGAAGTATTCGCTTCCTTGGCAGTTTCTTAGCCAAGGGGAAAATTATACTGGCACAACTTATCTCACAAATATGCATGATATGATGCCAAATTCTTTAATTAGGTTCATAAACCGATGTTTGTGTGAATTTACGTTCATTCCAAAGCCTCACAACTTCCGAATAGCAGTAAATTATTAAGGAAGTTTCATTGGTATCATTGTATAAACTGGTAAGTATTTAGAGCACGAACTAGATTCATCTTAAGCACAAAATGATTTATATATTTACGAAAATTATGTAGGCTATATCTCTTTGACAATACGCCCAAATTAAATTCAACACAACTACCGCCCCATTTTCAACGTGCCCAAAAACTCAAATATGTATATGCGTTAAATTCTTTTACTTGGGCCCTGTCAGTGATCTATTTCTAAACGTGCCATTAAAATACTTCTGTGACATCCTACTATGTGTACGTATATTCCCCAGACTTCATCTAACTTATTTACATCTTTTATTAGCGCTGTATTTTTAAATACATTAAAAGTGTGTAAACAGTATTCTCATGTGTGAAGAATTTCTTAATGTGACTTGAGGTTCTCTTTAACATGAAGTTGATTTTAATAATATTTGAAAAGCCATCTCTTTAGGCAACTTTTGGGCTACATTATGGACAGTAAGTTTCACACATAGCCGAAATTTTCCGATCAGTTTCAATGAAAGCGTTGAGATGGGGGTAGTACACAAACTGAAAAACTTGAGCGGAAGTGGAGGGTTAAAATGGGAGGTAAATATTAAAAATGATCACGGGCAGCATGGAAAACTAAAAGAAATATGTGGATTTTATACAGATACACAGACAGCGAGGTGATATCATAAGCCTCTTAAGAAAAATTGATACGAGGGTACACAGACAGACAGCAAGGTGATACCATAAGCTTAAATATTATTCGGGGGGAGAGGGTTCATAGATGGGCGGACAGAGATGTATGCACAGACAACGTGATCTCATAACCGTCCTTTTATTTTTTAAATATATAGAAAATATGCTAAAAATAAGCTATGATAAACAATGTGTGAGGTGTACTACAGTGGTGCTTAGCCTTACCTTCTCACAGATAAACTGAAAGAGATGTGAACCCAATATTTTTCATTCGACGTACGTAAGAAAATAAAGAGAAGAGATAGCGAGTTAAGAAGAGTCGTATTATGGAACGAAGCCGGGATAGGGCAATCAGTATATCGACTGGCTGCGCACTGGATGGCCGAGAGGTCGGAGTTCGAGTCCCGATGAGGTCAAGAATTTTCTCTTCTCCACGTCGTCAAGACCGGCTCTGGGGCCCACTCAGCCTCCTATACAATGGGTACCGGGGGTAAAGCGGCCGGGTCGTGAAGCTGAAAACTCACCTCCAACTAGTGCCGAGGTCAGGAAAACATGGATCTATACACCCACTCCCCCATACGCTTTCGTGGCGTAGTGCGTAATTAGTTAAGCACAGGGACAACTTCACCTTTTAGCATAATTCTTTTGCTTATAAAACATTGGACAGTTGCAGAACAATGGAAATTTTAAATTCTAGACTTTAACACTGTGTATGTATGAATCAAGATAGTGCAGTCGGTATAGCGACTGGATAGGGACTGGGTGGCCGATGGGTCGGAGTTCGAGTCCCGGTTAGGGCAAGAATTTTTTCTTCTCCACTTCGTCCATACCGGACCTCGGGTCCACCCAGACGCCTATCCATTGTGTGTCAGGGGCACTTTCCCTGGGTGTAAAGCGGCCGGGGCGTGAAGCTGACCACTCACCTTCAACTAGTGTTAATATGAAGAATATCTGCATCTATACATCCACTCCTCCATACGCCTTCATGACGTAGCGCTTAATTAGTTAACTTTATCTTGTTGCCTTAACATTAAATATTTTTTGCGTAAAGCATGCCTGGCCGATCGCAGTGGCCACGCGGTCTCAAGCATGAACCGGCTTCGCCCGCTCAGACACTCGGATAATGGGTTAGAAACCCACTTGAGGCATTTATGTTTATATCAGTTTATGCTGTCCTGTGTGTAGGTAGCGGTCTTGTGACTGGCTCATCCCCCTTCCATGGACTCTTACCGACTGTGTAAAAGATCGAGAAACAGAAAAATCGGCCAAGGTCCAACAAAGGACTGTAGAGCCATATATATAGATATAAAGCATACTTGAGTATATGTTATACTTCAGCACGTAATCTGGCGGAAGAATAGTCCTGTGTTTAACGAGATCTCCGTTAAGGGCGGTTCCTGTTCCAATCGTATCTTGAAAATAGAATAGAGTCACTTTGTAATGATGACGTGAAGTTTTACGTCACTGTTTGACGATGACTCGACATTGCGTTTACAATTTCTCAGTGTATACGTTGCTAATATAAAGCATAACTTGTGGAACACCCGCTGAGAGTTCGACGGGAAATATTTAGTTTGCAAACTCGGACCTCAGAATGACTGCGCTGGCGAGAGGACCAGCAACAATCGTAAACGACAGACTCATCTCTCGTCACAGAGAATGTTACATAAGGATTATAACCTCAAGTATTCAGTTGGAAAATAAAAATTCTCGTCGTGGGTCTCAAGGAGGCTTGTCGCCTAGACGAACTGATTGGCGGCAAACCTTCACTCGCAAGTTACTCTGACTCTGACACGGCTTGTCCAGTGATTGAGGTTAGTTCTTTCTAAAGGACCAAACAGGCTAGGTGTCTTCTCCCTCACCTGAGGACAGAAAAATATCCAGTTTCCGAAACGTTTGTTCTTTAGGTTTTTAGACTACCGGACAATGGACAAAGTCCAAAGTCCCAGTAATTATGGTATGATTGTCAGTTTGTCAAGGAAGACCGTGTATTATGGAATCAGTAAGATCTAAACATTTGGGAAGATGGATCACTAATACAACTATTGAGTTTTGGACATTGTCTGGAGTTATGGGGCTACTTGTCGATTGGGCCCAATTGAATAGGCCTTTACCTGAGGACGAAGATAGATTTCAGTTTCCGAAACGTGTGTTCTTAAAGAAAAGATAGAACGATGGAGAATGTTCAGAAGGTCTGTAATTTTATTGTGGAGTTAATTGAATTGAATACACATCCTGGACGTTATCTGGTGCTACTTGATGCTCTGTTCGCAGGAGCGTCGGATGAAGACATCCAGCTTGACGTTGGCAACTGTCAGAGGAGCTGCAGAAGCCTGTTCTGGCCTATTGATCTAGAATTTGCCGATCTCGAGAGCTCTTTCTTTAAGGTAAGCCTGATTTCCACGTATCATCAAATTCCAAAATGAAATTACATGTGATCTATCTCGAAAATCACGACGCGCATAGTTCCAAGAATATGTCTTCAAGCCGCTGTGGCCGTATAGATAAAACAAACTTCGTGGTTTCAGTCCATAAGCAAACTATACCGACCGAGCGACCGTCGATGACGGAGAAGTTCGTGCCAACTTTAGCGGATAGAGGGTGTCGCGTGGTAAGCAACGAATCCCCACTGTCGTTAATTTCGGTTTTCTATACCGGAGCCGCTATTTCCTTGAAATAACTCCTCAGTTATCTTCACGGGGCTGAGTGGACACACGTTAAACCTTCTACAAACTTCCCATGGCTATCCCCCACCGAGAACATAGAACTATGTCATTGCCACGGTCACTGTCACTGAACTGTAGCAAAAGTCAGAGTCACATTGCGACTGACGGTCAGTCAGTCAGTAAGTCTTGGTTTCGAGCCCAATCTGGGGCTCATGACCAGATACTTATGACTATTGACAGGTATTGTTTTTATGGGGCGCCCTCTCTTACAAGAGGACGGGTCTGTCTCTTGTTTATGCTACTGGCCCTTGCCAGCGCAGTCTTTCTCGGAACCGAGTGCCTTGGGACTCGCGGCCATATTTTACTGTCTTGTTTTTGAGATACCCCCTTTGCACGGACCCCATGGAAAACATCGTCTCCCATGTTTTTCGGATGCATGTTTACCGCTGTGTTGCCTGGTAGCATACTTCATATATATATATATATCCGTGCTTTTGCAGTTTCCCTTCTATTGTTGCCTCTATTTGTGTTTACGGAGCTTTGCCTGGCAACGCGTTCATCAAATCCGCTATAATATTGTTTTCGTTCGTATCAATAGTCTTTAAAATTAAATTTGATGAGCTTGTGAGCAATTGCAGTCAGTGCCATCTGTCATGCTGATGTGACAAGTAATGAGCCTTGACGTCTCACAACCCTTTGGGCCTTCACGGCCTGTTACAGGGATAGTTTATCTTTTTTTTTTACCTATTATTAGTGGGGTGGGACTAAGTCCACTTGGTACTGCGGCCACTTCTGGGCTATTGTACCAGTCCCAGATGTTAGGTGAGGGTGATTGTGGAGCAATTGGTGGAATGAAGATTGGCAGGGGAAACCGAAGTACTCGGAAAAAACCTGCCCCAGAGCCACTTTTTCCATCACAAATCCCACATAATCAGGCCCTAGCGCTAACCTGGGCCGCCACGGTCGGAAGCCATGGCGCTGCTTGTCACTATTAAATTCTGAACTAACAAGATTACGACACAATACAACCATACAAATTCATGCAAAACAAGACACATAGAAAGCTTGAATCATTTCACCTGAGGCTGGTCAAGTGTCAAATGAAGGAGACCACGTGACTTATACAAATCGTGTATGTAAATAAAAAGAAATAAGCGAAATATATCAGAAAATGAACAGGTGTTCAATGTAAATCTGGCCTGTGCAATCAGCTGGTCCAATCTGTCGAGCTGTGTAGACGAGGTACCTATCTAAACAGCTTAGTCACCGTTCCATAATAGAGGTCATCTGGACTTGTCAGTCATTATTAATATTACGGACACGCCTTCAGACTAATGAATGGATGACTCACCGTCTCACTATCGTCGATTTGTAATTACTTCAGGCAATATAGGGTGTAAGTGTTTTTTGTATATTGCTTTTGCTTTCTGAATCATAAAGCAGATTCTAAACTTCTTTTCTGTTTTACAATTCAACGCTATGCAGCCCTAAGACAGTGACAGAGTCGTGAAATGTGTCACCAAATCAGTAGGGCTCACAATACGAGAAAGACAGAGGGATTAAACATTACAGATATAGGTGGACAGATAAAGAAAATTCCGTGGCTTTTAGTCCGCAAGCCAACTATACCGACCGAGCGACCGTCGCTTGTCGGCGAAGTTAGTGCCAACTTTAGCGGATAGAGGGTGCCGCGTGGTAAGCACAACGAATCCACACGGCCGTTAATCTTAGTTTTCTAGACAGAAGCCGCTGATTTTCCAATCAAGTAGGGCCTCAATTATCTTCACGAGGCTGAGTGGACCCCGCTTCAGACCCAATACTTCTCAGAAAATCTGATACAGCCGGGACTTAAACCCGGTACCTCTGGATCTCTAGCCAGGAACTCTGACCACTAGACCACAGAGGCGGTCGACAGATAAAGAACGCCATCGAAATTAGACAAATGACCTGGAAAGAAACGGTCTTCAGGTTCTGGTACGGACCAACAAGGCGGTGAGATTCAAAATGGCCGAAAGACCATCTTGATATTCGTAAAATTAAGACTTAACTACTTAACTCTCTGAATGATTCTGTATTCTGAGATATAACACCGAACATTCCGTTGAAATTCAACCGATGTGTTCGAGGAACGTATAGATTCTATCTTCAGGGTTGAAGAATAAGCAAATTGCTGCATACTTCCTGATTGGTTCTTGCTTGGCTTATACCTCAACCATTACAATGGAGGCAGCGTATTCATCTGAAGTGTCGGTTGATTTTTCGGCAGAAGACTTGGTGTTGAATACCAGGAGATAGAAGTCTTCGTAACCACCTCCTTGAAAACCACAAATGTTCACAAAATCTGATGAAGTTCATGATATTGTCACGTGTAGGGTGGTACGCGTGACGAAGATGACGGGTTCTAGTTCACATGATTAAATTTATTAACCACTTAGTTACACACACTCTCAATTACAGTTAAATTACAGCGCTATCGCTGATTTACATACACCTCATAATCCACTGTTTTACGCACACTAGTCCTCTCCGGGTAAAGTATCTCAACATTGAAATTAGCGCTTTAAATCACTCCAAATATTGCACATAATTATCTTCAATCACACTTTAAATCTTCACAGGTTTTCTACGAACTTTCCGTTGCTGTTACCTAAAAAAGCTCAAACACTCTCAAATACTCCCCTTTGTTTTCTCTCTGTCGTTATACAGGGTGTTTCACGACTTTAGGGCATAACTGCAGGAGGTGATTTCCTAGGTCTTTATGATCAAAAAAGTTCATATAAACATGTGTCCGATTTTGGACGGTTGCGGAGTTATGACTGTTTTAAACTCAGAATAGAAGGTAACGATTACTGACAATAGACGGACCAAAATAATAAACCAGCATAATACATGATACATTTAAAGTATGAATGTAAAGTTAACTTCGTGAAATTACCTTTAATTTGAATTTATTGGTGCTTAAAGCTGATTTTCGAAAATGCCACCGCCGGCCGCAACACAGGCTGCCGCTCGGTTGTGAACCGCGCCGGACATACCAACCCTCCCCGCCTCAGGTACATCTCAAGTGTCGAGATAACGAGAGCGCTCTGTCTGTAGCTGTGTAAAAATAGCGACCCGCCAGCTGACAGGCGCGGTTCACACGAGGGCGTGTACGGGAATGAAAAAACGGCCATAACTCCGTAACCGTCCAAAATCGGACACATATTTATATGAACTTTTTTGATCACAAAGCCCTAGGAAATCACCTCCTGCAGTGTGCCATAAAGTCGTGAAACACCCTGTATATCCTCCGCACTGACCACGCAGAAAACAGTCTGTATTGTTCGAACGCGTTTACCGAGCGATCACATAGCAACAGTTATGACGCCGAACGCATAGAAAACGCCACACTCCCATTGTTGCCTTGCGTGTATTCGGTCGCTAGGTGTTTAACAGTCAGTTACCTAGCAACGCTGTATCAATCTATGTTACAATAATTTACATGAATATATAGGCACGTGTAAGGGGTTGTGCGTGACTTATAGACGGGTTTTGGACTGTATGATTGGATTTATTAATACCTTATACACTCAACATGTAACTACGAGTGAGACAGCGCTGTCGCTGTTCTATACACTTCGCAGTTCTCTCTCTCTCTCTCTCTCACACACACACACACACACACACTCACTCACTCACTCACTCACTCTCACTCCCACTCCCACTCTCACTCACTCACTCACTCACTCTCTCACTCTCTCTCTAGGGTTCTCAGTTTTCACTAGTCGTATCCTGGCAACGGATTTCATAACAGTAGTTATGACAGTCTCACTGTAACTGCAGCACATGTGAAGTTTTCTTTTCACAGTCTAATTCCTTTCTTGCTATTTTTTTTCAATCATCTTCGACTTCCACCTCCAGAACTCGACCAAATTCTAATTCAGGTCAAAGTCACATTGCGACTGACGGTCAGTCAGTCTGTCTGTCTTGGTGTCGAGCCCCGACTGGGGCTCATGACCAGATTTTTTTTTCTTTATATGAAAGTTACTGTCCTCTTCATTTGGGGCGCCCTCTCTGACGAGAGGTCGGGTCTGTCATTTGTCAGTCATAGTCTGTGTTAGTAAGTCCATTGTCAGTATTTACATATATTTACAATTTAATCTTAATTCCTATTTTTATGTACAATATATACAAGGCCTCTGTCAGTCCAGGCTCAGTACAGCAGATTACGCCCTATTTCTAGTTGTACTCGCTACCACAGTAGTCTAGTCACTTGAACGGCCGTATGCCTGACCGCCGCCAAGTTTAAGCCTCTTATACTTTCTGTGTCCGGCTTCACCTTGTCCAATGTTGCGGACATTCTCATTTTCATGATCTTGTATGATTTCTGCTTGTTTCCTGCATAATTTTGTTATAAAGCCATATACGTTCGGGATTTTAAATGCCATGTGCAAATCGCGAACCGGTGTGCGCCTCGGAAAATTGCCAATCCTGCGGAGAACCTTGTTTTGCAGGCGCTGCAATTTCACTAGATGGGAGTCTGTCGCAAACTCGCAGGCGGGACTAGCATAAGTCATTACGGATCTAATGAGATCTTTGTGGAGGTTCATTTTAATGTTGGCGCTCAATCGCTCACTTTTGAGTAGGGAATATACCCCAATGAATGTTCTGAAGGCCTTGGCTTCGATCATTTCTATGTGCAATCTCCATGTAACTCTCTTATCCAAGATTACACCTAGATATTTTGCACTATTTACAAATGGAACATTTCGTCCATTTAAAGTGAGACAAGACTCAGGCGGTCGACGACTACGAGAGAAGTAGACCCCCTGAGTCTTATCTTCATTAATTTTAATATTCCAGCACTCACACCAGGTCTCCATTGAGCTGAGACCGCACTGGAGTTTTCTAACAATGAAACCCTCCTTGCGATCTGTCGCATACAGACAGGTGTCGTCCGCAAAGAGTGCCATGTGAACACCATGTGTTTGGGGGGCATCATTTATGTACAAGTTGAAAAGAGTAGGGGAAAGGACAGAACCTTGTGCCACCCCTGCTTGCATTTCCCTTGGCGTTGACATTTCGCCTTCAACCGAGACCCTGAATTTACGTTTAGAAGGAAATGGCCCAATAAGTTTGTTCGAACTGTTCGTGAATTCCAATTTTGATAACTTATACAGCAAGCCTGAATGCCACGTGGTATCAAAGGCTTTTTCGATGTCCAAGAACACCGCGGCCGTAGACATTTTGTTGTTGAAATTAAGGGTCACATGGTCCGCCAGCCTCATACATTGCAATGTCGTGCTGTGACGTGCACGAAAACCAAACTGGCTTTCGTTGAGCAAGCTTCTTTCTTCAATATGTTTTTGTAGTAATTTCAAAACTACTTTTACGAATAGTTTTCCTGTCGTGGACAGGAGGCTGATCGGACGTAGATTTTGCGGGAATTTCGGGTCTTTACCGGGTTTAGGTAAAGTTATTACTTATGCTTCCTTCCAAGTATTTGGAAAATGAGAGAGCCGAAGACAATGATTAAATAAATGAGTTAGGTGAACAAATGGTCGCATTGGAAATTACCTCAGGCATTCATTTGGGATGCCGTCACTTCCACAGGCCTTTCTCAGTTTCAAGGAATTTATCAAGTTTTGTACGTCACATGGTCTGATCCTTTGAGGGGGCTTGTCGT